TTGGAAGGCTGAGGTGGAAGGATCGCCAGAGCCCAGCAGGTCGAGGCTGAGGTGGCTGGGTGGGTGACAGTGGGACTCCAACTGGGACACCCAGTCTGGGCGACAGAGTGAGTCTCCAACTCAAAAAAAAAAAAAAAAGAACTAAATGACACAATGAAAACAGATGAAACAAGTTCAAAAATCCAAAAGTCAATAACTTACATCCTGAGAACCCCCCAGTCCAGCATTTGCCTAGACAAAAAAGAGTATATTTCTGAGTCTGAATCTATTCCGTACTACTCCAGTTTAACTGCTATTTAACACCTAGTTGATGTTCCTTAGGCCAAGTTATAGAAGATAAAACTTCTCCTTTTGAGGGCAGAAAAGTTGATACTAAAGTGCAATGTGATGTTTCATGCATAGAATTTATTAAGGACTATGAGAATGTACACATGGAAGCAGTTTAATTTGTTTGGTGTAACAGGAGGGTAAGAAGTATTAAGGAGAGTTACCAAGGGGATTGATATTTAAATCAGGTCTAAAAAGAATGGGAATCTGCCAGACAGAACAAAAGAAAAGGACATTTCAGGTAAAGGGAACACTAAGAAACATACACTCAGTTCCCAGAGTGTATTTAGGAAGACGGAGAATCTAAACCAGCACAAAGAATGCTCGCTCCAAAGAAAGGGCTCTTCTGAGAATAAAGAATGATCTGGAATTTGTGAGACTCACTAGCCATCCATCTTTTGTGGGTTAAATAAAATACAAAGATGATAAAGAAAATTAGCTTTATTTATGTAATTTAGAAAAACTGGTTGTAGTATTAGAATTTCTCAAATGTTTTCACTCTGAACAATTTACAAGAGTATTTATATACAAACATAATAAAATAGAGTACATCACATTGCTCTTAGCTTCAAAGTGTTTTCTCAATTCTAAACATGTCTCTATCACTTCGGTTTGCAATTTTTAACAGGGAAATGCTTTGTTCTGACATAGTACTTGATTCACATAGTATAACACTGAAGTAGAAAGAGAGTCAATGATCATGAACAGAGTTAAAAAATATTTTCCAACCAATATGACTTTATCCTTAGATTTTTTCTATATTAAAATATGTTTCATGTTAAAAAAAAATATTTGTATTCATTGATGATCTAAATTTGTTGTACTAAATTTGGCATTTATATAAACCCATATTTGATCTAAATATAATATAGATATTAACCTATTTAAATTCATTGATATAAATGTTTGCCACAAATGAAAATGAACAAAATTGTTAGGAACAGAGGTAACAGAAAAACCCATTTGAAAAATAGTGAAGTAGAGATGCCCTATCGTATTTTAAATGAGTAAAACTTCCATTTTCTGGACGCAACACAAACTAAACCAAAAGATGGTGAAAAGTCATGATATTAATAAATACCAAATCTTATGTCATACTATAAGGTTGTATGTAATTAATTTGTACCATTATACATATTGGATAATTCTAGACCAAGTTTCCCATATAGTTTTCCAATCACTTATATTGTTTGAGAAATCACAGAAAACTTAATACAATTACTGAATAAGGCAGAATTTCAAATTAGCGATTAGGATACAACATAAGTGCAGATAAACTAAAGTCATACCTGTCACAGTATTAGGTATACTACGTATGTAGACTGCTAAAAGAAATCCATTTCATTTTTAAAGCGGTGGACTGTTTAGTAAGTTGAGCTCTTTAGCACTTTCTTAAATTTCTTGGCAAGAATTCTAACAGCCCTATTGTCTTATTAAGTAGGAAACCCCCCCCATAAAAAATGTTAAGTATGCCATCACCTTGAAAAGTCACAGCTATTTAGGGTAAAACAATCAACTAGACCTCCAAGCGCACTTGTGTCTAAAATGTCACTTTTGTCCCCAAAGAGAAGGAACTGATCAAGTATTATATTAAGGTGCTTACTATTTCAAAAAAATAACATCAGAGGAAATTTGTCTTCAATTGGATGCTTGAATTCTTTCCAAGGTTCTTAGTACGTTTAGATGTTGGTATCTTGACTCTGACACTTTCCTGATTGCCCTTAATAGCAGCCTCAAGGCGGGCTTTCAGGGCTGGAGAAGCAGCCATCAAACTTTTGAAAACCGAGGAATACTGAGGTCCAATCTGCATGAGATTTTGCAAAGCAAAGTCATGTAAATTTCGCATTATGGAAGTTGCTGATCCCAGAGCAGTTTCATCCAAAAGGAAGGAAATGAGGATGGGCAAAAGGCAGGCCACCAGCTGAGCACCTAGAAGGTAAACAGATGATGTAAGTTCAGGGATGTAAACATTCATTATACAAGGCTACAAATGCACTTGACCTGTTGTACACATTTTTCTCCACTAAGGAGTAAAACAATTCTTCTCTCTTCTCCTTTTTATTTTTATTTTTTATTTATTTTTGAGTTGGAGTCTCACTCTGTCACCCAGACTGGAGTGCAGTGGCCGCTCCCGGCCACCACAGCCTCCACCTGCTGGGCTCCGGCAATCCTTCCGCTTCAGCCTTCCAAGTAGCTGGAACTATAGGCGCACGCTACCACGCCTGGCTCATTTTGATCTATTATGGAGATGAGGTCTCACCAAGTTGCCCAGGCAGGTCTCGAACCTGCAGGCTTAGGCAATCCACACACCTCAGTCTCCCAAAGGCACGGGATTACAGGCTGAGCCATCGAGCCCGGCTTATTTTTATTTTTTAATTAATTAATTATAAAGATGGGTACAATTAAGGGTTAGATATATAAACACTGATCATGCAGGTACCCTTGTTGATGAGGTATGTATGCCCCTCTCTCCCCTAGCAGTTTCCCTCAACTGCCAGTCCCACCCCCCTTCTTTTTTTTTTTTTTGAGTGGGCCCGTTATTCAGACTGGAGTGCAGTGGTGTGCAGTGGTGTGATCACTGCTCACTAAGATTGCTATGCTCAGATGATCCTCCTGCCTCAGCCTCCCAAGGCAAGAATTACAGGGGCAGGCCACTACACCCAGCTAATTTTTTGTTTTTGTTTTGGAAAGACAGGTCTTGCTATGTTGCCCAGACTGGTTGAACTCCTGTCTTCAAGTAATCCTCTTGTCTCTGGCCTCCCAAAGTCCTGGGATTACAGACCTGAGCCACTGCTCCTGACCTTTTCTCCTAAACTAATATTAAATAACATTAGTACTTGGGATTAATGTAACACCTGTCTCCCTCCCCCCAAGTTGGAGTCTCACTCTGATGCACAAACTGGAGTGCAGTGGCCGTTCGCAGCCACTGCAGCCTCGACCTGCAGGGCTCTAGTGATCCTTCCGCCTCAGCCTTCTGAGTAGCTGGAACTACAGGCGCGCACTACCACGCCCGGCTAATTTTTT